GAAACACCATAGTTATTTTGCCTTTCTTTCTGAGCTGGAACACTGAAAAAAATCTCCTTGCTTTGTTTCATTTTATCATAGTCTCAGAGTAGTGTCATCTGAAGTTGGTATTATATCTTTTAAGAGTAAAAAATCCTGTCTCTGAGAGTCAGACCAGCTTATGTATAGTAGAGGTTGCTATTTTTTTTTCTCATTTTGCAGATAGATTGGCCAGTTAATGGTAGGAGACCAAATTCCATAGAAAGTTTACTAGGGAAAAGTAAACCTCATAGCTCATCCCTTACTGTCAATAAATAACTGTCCACACTGAACAGCACTGAAGTGAGTATTGATAGAGAAGTACCGTCACCAACTGCTGGTAGAGAACACTTTTATTGGGGGAACGGCAACTGTAAAGAAGAGAAGACTTCATCACACCTGAGGGTTGTAATTTTTTTAAAGTTTTGGGGGGGGGAAATGAGGCACAGTTTCACACGGCAATAACCCCAGCTACTCGGGAGATAGAGATGGGGAGTAGCAATGTTGAAGACCAATCTGGGCAAAAAAATAACAGGTTTCTATTCCAACAAATAAACCAGGCACAGTGGTGCAATGAGTGTAATTCTACGTACACAGGAGGTATAATTAGGAGTATTGCTGTCTCAGGCCAGCCTGGTCAAAAGGTAAGACCCCGTCTGAAAAAATAACCCAAAGGACAAATTGTAGGAAGCATTGCTCAACAAGTAGAGCTTTTGCTTACCAATCACAACATCCTGAGTTCAAACCCCAGTACTACCAAAAATATTTTTTTTTATTCAGGCACATAGCACTTTGTTTCTTTGGTTTCTAAAGGTTTGAAAGGAAAGGAAAGGCAGAATTTCTGTGTGAGATTTTGGAAAGTCTCCAAGCACTCTTGATAGGTACTCCCAAGTAGATTCTCCCAGGATGCCTCTCCACTAATCTCACAGTTTATGTGGGGTTTATGTGGAAAATATAATAGTAATTGATATTGTAATAAGATCCTGTATGATATACAACAAAACTGCTTGTCAGAAGAGGTTTTACCATCATCCAGGGAGCCAATGGGGTGTTAGTTAGTTAACTCACTGTCAGTGGCAGAACAAAAATTATCCCAGATATAATTTTTTTTGCTCTTTTGAAACTAGATTGTAGAGATTTTTCCAAGCCATCTTAGCATACAACATATTTGAGCCAGGTGTCCATTTTCACTAAATAAAGTGATAAATTTATAGATTATAATTTTATCATTCTATACATCTATTGACATCAAAGTCAATGTTTTCAAACACTGCCCATTAGTTTCTTTGAAGACCATGGGTATCCATGGGGAATTTAGAATAATAGCACAGAAATTGTCAACAATGATAAACAGCCAAGGCGCAGAGACTAGCACTTATAAATACGTATTCTGGAACCAGACAAACTAGCTTCAAGGAGCAGTTCTACCACTTCCTAGTTGTGTTACATTGGGAAAGTTAGTTAGTTCATGTGCCTCAGTTACTTCCTCTATAAATAATATCGGTGTCTACTTCACAGCATGTGTACATTAATTAGATAGATAGATAGTATTATATAAAACCTAGCCTTACAATTGTATTGAAAAAGAAATAACATGATAGTTACCACCATATCCTTATAGTCAATGAGTTAGCAATGGATTCAATAGTTGTTCCTGATCTTACTGAGGAATGATTTCTGTTACTCAGTTAAATTGTATACATAGTCTATACTATTACTATAGAGGCAATAGTGTAGTAAACCAGATGTGGGAAATATCTCAAATTATATTTTAAAATTGCAGTTCATTATATCTGATATGTCTGAGGCAATATATTGAGTTCTACTTCGAGTGAGGCCTTCAATATATTCTGTAACTGAGCCTTTTGGATTTTATCTAAATAATGCACCAGAAGTCTCAGATCTTTAATTGAGGCAACCATGTTGAGTACCAATGAAGTAAGTGTGATAACAGCTTGATAATGCAAAGCTTGACATGAAGAAAAAAATTATTGATGTTAATAAGATGCATTAGTTTTAGAAAACAGAAAAATCAAGAAAAATTACCATTCTACCTTAAAATAATATAAGCAGAATTATCATTTATTTTATTATACTGGAGTTTATTTGAATACTTATAAAATGTCAATAGAAAAATCACATAGATATGTGTTTGTGCCAGGTTAATGAGTCATTGAATATTGCTAAATCGTTATAAATACTTGCAGATTTTTTTTCAGGCAAAGTAAAAGAAAAAGTGAGATAAACAGAAACATTCATAATTACTGTAGACATGCATTACAAGAAATCAGAGTGATGTAAAAAAAATTTCATGTATCTGAGAGATACATAGTTAAAACACACACATGTTTTTCCTCAGGATTCAAAACCTCACTGGAAAACTGAGGAAATGTGATAAACACTATTTTATTAGATGTAAAATGAAATCTTTTGAAAATCAAGAGCATTATTATAATCAGAATTGAGGGTTTACAACTTTATTTTTCTGTGAAATATGAACATCTACTCCCAACAAATTGAGATCATCATTAACGTAACATCATTATTCTTGTCTTTAGCACCAAATTTATGCAATATTATTTGTAAAATCCCAGTCTACTAAGTGTTTTTTGTGTGGTTGCTTTAAAAAGAACACTACAAAAAAATCTCTTAGTGTAACTTTTTTATTTCTAATGGACATATATAAATAATTTTTGGAAAGCACAGATTTGTGTTATTACTTCCTACTTAATGTTGAACTTGATTTTAACATCTACTCTTAAGGAAGTCAGTATTCATATGTAGTCAGCATTTAGTTGACTGTGATGAATTAGTCCAGAGAAAATCTGCATAAATCAAATCCATGGCATTGCAAAATTTTGTATGTCCCTGAGCATTTTGCAGTTATACAATTGGCTACAGCTGCTAACTAACAGACACACTGAACAAGTTTAATTTTATATTCCTTTCACTTACCCAAAGACTTAACTTAAAGCACTTTTTGAAGAGCACTTTACATTTTATACGCACATTCACCTGTCTGCTCACTTTGATCATAATCATATTCTTGCAGGGAAAGGACATTACTGAGTCATGAAAAGTTTTATCCTTAATTTATGAATGAATAAACTGGGCATCAGACAACATGCTGTTATGTTAATGCAGATAATTAGTATTATCTAAAAAAAGGTATAGAATTCCTGGCTTGTTGAAAGCATTACATAGCAGTGAGCAAGCCAATGGCCTTCATTCCTAGGGGAACCCACCAAGTCTCCATGCAGCTCTGTGTCCACATACATTCTTTTTACTGTTTATGGCCTTTGAATTTTTGTCTTAATTTTCTCCATTCCCTCTTTGCACTCTGGCTTAAATGTTCTAACCTCTCCTGAATTTCCAAACACTACTCATCGTTTATAGTTCAAAGTAAATTCTATTTCAGAAAGTCTTCTAGTCATTGCTGTACTTAGGAAATGGAATTCCATGCCTCCATCAGAAAGAATGACATTGCCCCATTTGTTAGGAAATGGAAAGACTTGGAATAAGTTATATTAAGTGAAGTAAGCCAGGCCCAAAGAAACATAGGTCCCATGGTTTCCCTTATTTGTCATAACCAGTATATGTCTGAGACAAGCAGAAAAGGTCAGATAAGTTGATGTTAGGTGAAATGAACCCCAAGATAAGGATTCAAAGTGTTTTTTTCTTTCTTGTGATTGTTTCTAACATATTTATAAGATGATTTCTTTGTTGCTGCTTTGTATGTCCCTCCCCACGGTATAACACCTGTTTTCATTGTATTTGATATTTGTATAATTTGTGGAGGGGAAGGGAAAAAATTGTTTAAATAGAGATACAGGTGGACCCATTGCAACAATGAGATGTACAAGTTGTTATGTTGAAAAACGAACTTTGCAACTTTGGCTGGGGTGGGGGATGCAGGGGGGGAGTGGGAGATGGGAAGGGATGGGAAGGGGAAACAAAGGAGGATAAAAAAATAAAAAATAAAATTAAATAAATAAAAAAGAAATACAGAATTTATATGCAATGGCACTAAAATCCTAAATGTTACACTTAAATATTCATCTAAATTCACTTGCGAATTACTCACAGGGGAGAAAAAAGACAAAGTTGTATGCTTCTTAGCAATGCATATCAATCTAGTAATATATATATATGTATTAAATACTTGATAAATAAATACATAATATATTCAATAGAACTAATGCAGAAACATGGATTATCATATTTGCACTTCATGTCACTTATAATTCAGCATATATAGACATTTAATTTAGCAAATACAGTCATATAATTGTGAGTCCAAAATGAAGAGGGGAAAGGAGGAGAATACTGTCATAACATTTAATTCATAGGCTACAAAGTTAAAACAATTGAGGGGAGGGATAGTTTGGGGAAGGATGGGAAAGAACAGTGAAAAGGATGACATTGATCAAGATATATTGTATTCATAAACTTATTTGTTGAATGGTAACTCTTTTTTTACAACTACTTATACTTAATAAAACTAAAAATATATTCTTACATTAATTGACCCAGCATTGATTTCTAATGGTCAGTACAGGGCAGGCATATAGCCCAAGGAATCAAATCAACCACACGTGCTTGATAGTTTCCCTGATTGGAGCAGGCATTTGGCTTCTGTAAGAATTGAGAACAGGAACTATAGCAAGTGCTTTCTATAGAATTACATTAGCATAAGCCATTCTTCCAGGCATAATTTCTCAGCAGATCAAGGAAAACTCCCAGTGTTCATTCTGTGGTACAGCATACAAAAATGTGGTACAGCATATGAAAATGCATTCCAGTATTTATTATAAATGCTATTGATCAAGCATATTATCACACAAAAATAATTTTTAGGAAGAAGTTTCAGAAAGCCATTTTGTTATTTCCATTTAAAAGATGGCACTGCATGACCATTTATTTGATCTTTATGAAATAGAAGTGTTTGCCTTAGAAATAACTGTGTTTGCTCTTATTTTAAGGTGAATTTGGAGAAGTCTGTAGTGGACGTTTGAAGACACCAGGGAAAAGAGAGATCCCAGTAGCCATTAAAACTTTGAAAGGTGGCCACATGGATCGACAAAGAAGAGATTTTCTGAGAGAAGCTAGCATCATGGGTCAATTTGACCACCCAAATATCATCCGCCTCGAAGGTGTTGTCACCAAGAGTAAGCTGCTGATTTTCTTCATTATTTCTATTAGATAGCTCTCCGAGATTTTTAGCTTAACAGCTGTACCACAGTCATTAAGAAAGTAACTTAGTTCAGATGTTATCTTTTTATTTCATCCTCATTGTGTGAATACTAGGCTATGCCATGATCAGAATTTGCATTGATCACCAAATAGCTTTCAAATGGCATTACTTGTAAATAAGTGCTAATTTAACCTCAAGTGTAAAGGGTATAAATATTTTCCTAAATGTCAATACTAATAGAAGAAACTGTTTCAATTTTCCAGGTCATTAAGTAAAACACTACTATTTTGAAATAAATTGCCTATACAGTTAAGAATGTGGTATGTGGAGAAAATCATTTTGACATAAACTTCTGTACAGGATTTATTAACCTGAATAGCATTAGAAATAAATTATTTGGTATAGAGGGGTTACAATTACATAAGCAAGGTAATGAGTACATTTCTTATCAAGCATTGTTGCTTCCTCCTTTGTTTCTCCTTACTATCCCTACCTATCTCCCCCACTCCCCGCTTCCCAGCGCCAAAGTTGTAAAGTTCATTTTTCAACATAACATCTTGTACATCTCATTGTTGTAATGGGTCCACCTGTATCCCTCTTTAAACAATTTGTTTTTTCCCTTCCCCTCCCCAAATTATACTAATATCAAATATAGTGAAAACAGGGCTTATACCATGGGGAGGAACATACAAAGCAACAAAGGAATCATCTTATAAATATGTTAGAAACAATAGCAAGAAAGAAAAACCATTTGAGTCCTTATCTTGGGGTTCATTTCACCTAATATCAACTTATCTGACCTTTTCTGCTTGTCTGAGACATATACTAGTTATTGCAAATAAGGTAAACTATTTGACCTATGTCTGTATGGTATTTTCACAATAAAAAAAGAAAAAGAAATAAATTATTATACTTCATATATCTTGAAGAAGATTATAATTTCTGGAGTAAAATTCTCTTTTATAAAAAAACAGAGGAATAAAAGACATTTCTTTGACAGAAAACTTCTTAAAAAATACAAAGTCCTATATGCTGTACAAATACAACTATACACTCGCTATTTGAGTAATGATTGGCCATAAAATGTAACAATATTTCTTCTTATTTTATTCACTAATGAATTAAACATATAAAACCCAACGTAGAGTGACATTAAAATTTTCATGAAAATGATTTAGCACTTTGAGAGGGAGATTTTTCTTCTTTTACAGATCTGAATTTTCTTTTATGACCAATTAAGTGAAGTTGAATTTTATGTCATATTTGGAAGCAAGAAAGTATAAACCTATGTAACTGACTGCATCTGAATCATCACATGCATTGGACAGCAATGCTTGTCAGGATATGCAGATTATGCACTGTGTGAACTCCTGAGAGTTCACAAAGCAGAGAACAGTGTTATTCATCAACAGGTGTAACCATAGGCTGTTTTTTAATTTAATTTTATTGTCAAGGTGATGTACAGAGGGGCTACAATTTTGTATGTAAGGTAGTGAGTACAATTCTTGTAGAACTTGTTACCCCTTCCTGCATTTTTTCTCCCACTTTCCCTTCTCCTATCCCCACCCAAGATTAGTAACCTTTCAGTACTCATATGTATGCAGTTTCCCTCCACATTGACTTGAGCGTTAGCCATTTGATTAGCCTGTATATATACTTATTATATGTAATAACTGGAAGCATTTTACATAGAAACGTAAAATGTCTTCTTGTCTTCTTATAATGCCACTTCCAGAAACCTAGGCCCCATTCTGAGGAAGGGCAATCTGAATGATGAAGCACTATAAAGAAGAGACCTTCAGTCAACAGCCCCATCTGAGCTCTCCATTGATAGATTGAATGCCAGCCTCGCAAGTGACCATACAAACATTAAAATCCTACACCAAATCTCTACCACCACTATCAGATGGCTGAAGCTATAGTTGTCTTGTGGCACAAAGGTGCATAAGGCAATAAATGTTGAATGGTTTGTTTCACAGTAATAGATAACCAGGCAGATAGACTGCAGTGGTATTTGTGCCATCAAGATCTGTGAATCGCTGAGTAAATTATGTAACACTTCTATTCTTTATTTCTACATCTGCAAAATAAGGTGAAAATGACCCTTGGTAGCATTGGCTATATCAGCTCAATTTTCTTCTTGTTTTTCCCTAAAACAATCCTGGTCAAGCATGGTGGCTCAAACCTATACTCCTAGCTGCTTAGGAGATGGAGATCTGATTGAAGTTCAAAGGCAACCAAGGTAGAAATTTCAGGAGAAATGATCTCACCCAGTGGTTTCATGTGGAAGTACATCTCTGTCATCCCAAGTTTGAGGATAACATGACGGCTGGGTATGCCAGTCATTCGGTGACAAATGGTGACTCATACCTATAATCTTAACTACTCATTTTGCAGAGATCAGGAGGATCACAGTTAATGCCAGGCTAAGCAAGACATTCATTAGCTTTCATCAGAACCAATAAAGCTGGGAAGAGTACCCACTTGTTATCCCATATATGCAAAAGCACCAAGAGGAGCATTGCATTCTAAGCCAGCTCAGACATGAGTGCAAGACACACTATGAAGGTACCTAAAACAAAAAGAGTTGGAGGTGTGGCTCAAGTGAGAGTTCACCTGTCTAAGAAGACTTGAGCTCAAACCCCTAATGGGGAATAAAAAAAGGAAGGAAGGAAGGGAGGGAGAGAGGGGGGAGGGAGGGAAGGAGGGAGGGAAGGGAGGGAGGGAAGAAGGAAAGTCTCAAAGAAACAGAGACCGAAATAGCCTGCTAAATCAGAAAGCATTGTGATTTAGTTGTCATTAATTTGTTTTGAATATTTCAAGATAATTCTTCAGTTTAATATCTCTATTGAATAAAAAATAGTTTAAAGATGAGGTATGAACATCTAAAGAACATTTAAAGTAACTATTTGAGCTTGATGTTGACATCTTTTTATATGGGTTTATTTAAAGAATATCTAGAAATGTAAGTCCAACAATAAATTAAAGGGTTTAAATGATCAAACCTTTATTTTCCCCTTTAATAAAGCAGACTATACCATTTTTCATGATTCCTGTGATTGTATTCACATATTAACATATATCAGCAATACATATCTCATAAGTATATATATATATATAATGTTATTTTATACAGACACATATGATATATATGTATCTACATAGAGAGAGAATTGGTGCATATTGAAAGAAAAAAGATGCATAGCCATATAAAAATATAGGAATTATTTATTATAAATTAACTGCACACATTTAATAATAATCTTTAATATTTGTCAACTTGAAGTAGATCATTTTACTCAAATCTTTCAAAAACAGTGACTATACCTTTATCAATCTCACCCAAAATGAAAATAGTGACCTGGATTTAGCAAAATTTGTATTATCTACAAATCAAGATCCTTCCCCAAATTCTTTTAGGTAGGTAGGTAGGTAGATAGATAGATAGTAAAGATACTGTACAAAGGGATAATACTTACATGAGTAAGGTAATGAGTACATTTCCTATCTAGCATTGTTACCACCTCCTTTGTCTTTCCCCTACCATCCCTTACTTCCCACTTCCCAACTTCTCCCCCACTCGAAGCTGTAAAAGTTCTTTTTCAAAATAGTGTCTTTGTATCTCATTGTTACAATGGGTCAACCTGTATCCTTATTTCAGCATTTTGTTATTTCCCATCCCCTCCCCAAATTAGAAAAATGTATATACAAGATGCAGGGCACCAGAATCAAATACAGTGAAAACAGAGGTTATACCATTGGGGAAGAACATACAAAAGAAACACAAAAATCACACAGTACATTATAAGTACATTAAAAACAACAGCAACAAAGATAAAACCTCTTGTGTCCCCATCTTGGGGTTCATTTTGCTTAGCATCATCTTATATGGTCATATGTACATAGTTTTTGACCTTTTCTGCTTTTCCTAGACATATGCTAGTTATTGTAGATAAGGGATACCATGGGACATATGTTTCTTTGGGCCTGACTTACTTCTCTTAATATAAAATTTTCAAGTCTTTCCATTTCTTAGCAAGTGCGGTGGTGTCATTCTTTCTGATGGTAGCATAGAATTCCATTATATACATATACACATACACACACACACATACATATATATATATATACATATTCATCTATTCAGGGGCAGCTGGGATGGTTCCATATCTTAGCTTTGGTGAATAATTCTGTGATAAACATAGTCCTGGTGGTAGCTTTAGTATGGTCTTGTTTGTGATCATTCAGGTAAATGACCAAAAGTGGGATTGCTGGATCATAGGGGAGCTCTGTGTGGAGTCTTTTGAAGACTGCTTTCCAAAGTGGTTGAACAAGTTTACACTCCCATCAACAATGCAGTAGGGTTTCCTTCTGTCCACATCCCCTCCAGCATCTGTTGTTATTAGAGTTCTTGATTATAGCCATTCTAACTGGGGTGAGGTAGTATCTAAATTTTATTTTGATTTGCATTTCTTTATGGCTGGAGAAGTTGAACATTTCTTCATGTGTCTATTGTCTATTCTGATTTCTTCTGGAAATCAGGCAGTTGTTTCTTTGTTGTTGGGGGATTAATTTTTGAGTTCTTATAATTTAGATATGAGACCCTTGTCTGTTGTAGGGCTAGTGAAGATCTTCTCCCAATCTATGGGCTTTCTATTGATCTTGCTTGCTATGTCATTTACCATGAAGAAGCTCTGCAGTTTCATGCAATTCCATTTGTCCAACCTTTCTTTGATTTGTTGTGTTTTGGATCTTTATTAAGAAAATTTTGTCCTGTTTCAAGGAGCCCTAGAGTTTCTCCTATTCCTTCTTGTAATGTTTTTAGGGTGCCTGTTTTGACTCTGAGGTATTTGATCCATTTGGAGTTGATTTTGGTGCAGGGTGATATGTAAGGATCTAGATTTAGTTTTCTACAGGTGTTTAACCAATTTTGCCAGCACCATTTACTGAAGAGGCTGTCCTCCATTCCATTTT